CTACTTTCCGTCGCTTTCTATATGTGATCTATTAATAGGTGCTTCGAAAAAACATTTTAAAACATGACTGCTTGGCTGTCCGTACCAGTGTAATGCGTTCGAGAGGGTTTCAGTAAATTGTTCCGGCTTCCCAGATGTTCGGAACTTCCGTAGAGTAGTACTTTATACAAAATCGATCTCATTTCCGATCGTTGTTGCCCAATTCGATACGAGGGTATGGCAGTTTCTTCCCCTTATGTCCAACATATGCAGCGACCGTTGTTGACATGGATTTCACCATCGCACGACCCCGTGCATTGATTGCAAATGTGGTCACCAAGCTCGCATATGCTTAATTATAGCCCACAATCGTTGTCTGTGTGTTGATCACGAGTTCCTTATGTTTTTTCCTGCTTTTTTTTCGTTTTCGTCTTTGTTTCTAACGGCACTCGACATTCGACATCCAAATGCGTTCGCCCACGTTCTGTATGAGGGACGAGGAATGGGGGACGAGGGACGAGTCATGTCGGTTCAGACGATTGGTTTGTTTCAGTCACTCTCTCCTACACTTCGGCTGCTCTCTTATGCGACAACGACACCGGCGCTCTGTTTTGCTCCCTCCACGATCACCACCACCTCCAACAACTCCAACCGAGCTGACTAGCTGTACTTTCCAAAGCGTTAAACGTATTCATAATCTTTTGACTAGATCTCTGTTCGAGAAAATTGACTGCAAAAGTAGGAGAAAACTTGTTCAATTAGCTACCAATGGTAGGATTCCTTCTTGGCGGTCTTAACATGATCTTGACGTCTAGTCATACACATATGAATCGCTTATTTCTTTTCTTAATACTTGTTAGATAAAGATGGTGGTGGGTTGTTTGTTAAACAAAGGTATTTTGAATGAAAAGGTCACATATACTGACTGATATGTGCCTCCCTATCGAACTTCACTGAGTCATCTCGTCATAATAAAAGTAGTCGTCGACGGCGATATTGCGCTATTCGTACAGTTTCGTATTACTACGTCTGTTGTAGTTTTGTTAAAACTGTGTGTAACGTTCAACGATTCAACGATAACTCTCTGATTCTACTAAAATCCTCCTACTTCAGTGTACTGTTAAACGAAAATCATATCAGAAATTGAGCAAAGATGCTGGTTTTCTCATAACTGCTGTTATTTTTCTCGGGAGATAAAGTGATTTTAAGAATCCGATCACTTTAAATCGATACTGAAGAGGCTTATAACCAGCTGATAGGCGACAGAAAGCCATAATGATAAAGAGGGATCCAAAAAAGGACGAATGAATTCTGTATTCCAGAAATTCGAAATTCTCTTTGTAACATAGGAGCTCTTGTATTTCGTTCGTGGATATCTCTGGAATACATTTGTGGGACATTTTTTTGAATATTGGATGGAATAGTTACTATTTGCAGTGAAGTACTATTAGTCATCATGACTCATGTTGTCCAACACTAAAGACCAATCAATAACAGTAGGCCAATGTCATCATGGTACCGGACCAGATAAATAGGGATGACTGCTGTATTCCTCCTTGATCCCAACATCCCGTTCTTTCTTACTTGTTGCTTTTCTTCATGTAACATTGCGCATAGATTGAAAAACTTCTTGATAAATGAGAAACTGACCTTTCTTAGCGATTGGATAGGATCATATACTCCATGTCTTTCCCCTCATTCTCCTTTATCTAACGTCTTTCGCTTTTTCTGTTCTTGCTTTAAGTTTGAATAAATTTCTTCCAGCTACTTAATTAATTACGTTAAATGATTATAGTTCTTTTATCACCACTACATTACAGTGAACCACTTCTCAATCACTATATTGATGTCTAGGGAACCTCTAGTGGAATGGTTAGAGGTGCTTTGCAATAGACAAGTGGTCGTTGGTTGGATTCCGCACCCCAGACTCACCAAGCCTTCTATCTCTCCGGTATCGGCAAATTGAAACCAGAATTATCTGGGAGGATAGCAGTATTGACTTGGTACATCAGTAGGCCACCGCAAGTCATTTCATAGCTCGGATCTTTTCATCTCTGACGGTGCTTGATGAAGTCGAATGCATTGCGTGTCCTTCAGAGATTGATCAACGCCGAAAGTTTTATTCTTTATCCTTTTCATCAATCTCGTTTTCAACAGTGCTTCCTTTCGTTCTAATTTTTTTTTCGATTCTTCGCGAAGTTTCTGAACTTGTTCGCCTCATTTACCGTAACCCATTCATTATTGCAGTTCGTCGAACTCATTCAACCATGCCCACTTACACGACAACAACGACAAGAGTCACGAGAACCACAACCGGAAATTATTACGGAGGGTTTGTGACGTCACAAAGTCGAGTATTTTAATTTTTTTTGGTGAAAATATTAATGCTTTGCGTTTGACCACTAACGGTTATTATTTAGTATTCTTATATCGTGTTTTTTCCTTAGTGAAGTCATTTAGAATGACAAAAGAAGATCCCTTTTCGAATTCCGCTTTAGTCATGTCAATGTTTATAGTTTTTAATGTCATCGTAGGTAAGGGCAAGTTCATGAAGGTTTACTTTTAATAAAACTAGAAGAATTTCAGTTTAATATTAAATCGCTAACTGCGAAAGCTGCCGTTGGTAGTTTTAGTTGTTATACTAATGAGGAAAACTCAGTTTTGAGAGATTCTTTCACATCCACTCTTTCCTTTGTGGTTGTAGGAGATACGACAAGAAAAAAGACGAAGTGAAACTCCGTTTTTTGTTCCGGAAGTTCCATGGCAAGTGTTGAACGACTTTTTTCTTGTGAGATTTTTAGAAGATATTTGAGAATGTTTCTGCCGCCTCGTGAATGAAGTTATGCGACAGCCAGCTCGCCTGCATCAAGAACATATTGTGGACTATAATTTAGTCATAAATAATGGTTTTTCTAATTGTCTCAATATGCAGCAGATGGTGTTTAAAACAGTGACTCACAGCATACTGATGCATAAAGTGCAAGCGCTTTCGTTCTATCGGTAGCTTGGCTGGTTTATCTGACTATGATGTAAAGCGTGCATTCTTGAGAAGTTTCTGAGTTGACTGCGCGCCTCATCTGTACCGCTACTATATGAGCATCGAGCCCTGAATCTTCCTGAAGTGTCATGCATATCCTTATCATAGAATGCATCATTTTCAACCATTCGTCATTGAGAATCCGCTTACGTTTCACATTCCATAACTACGACAATTACATTCGCAGGACATTCTCAACAAGGCTGCTATTAAGGTTGGTTATTCCGCTCCGAGATAGGCGTTCCGGTTCCTTTCACATACTCAAGTCTTAATAACGTTGGACGGCGTTGTCATATGCAGTGCTAAGCTCCAGAAAATTCGACTCGATGCGACGACGAAGGCTCACATCTTGAGATCAGCCCGTTGTGGACAATCGACGATCAGCGCAGTTTCTGAAGAAGGCGATGGCGCCGGAACATTAGCCAAAATTTCGGGTTAAAAAATGAAAGGAAAACAATCTCGTGTTAGCTTAATCATCTGTGAGGGTACATTGTCATATCTTGAAAAGTCTTTGTTTTTGTAAACATTCTTTGCCTGGAAATTGATGCGATGTATTGTCGTTGAAAGGAAACCAAAACCGGTTTCGCGAACTACCACTGCGATTCGATGATCGTCTTCTTTTTAAATTCCGAGTAACATAGGTGGGTGCCGGTTAGCAACAACATATCGCCTGCATTTGATCTTGTTTTCACTGAATGGATTTCGTTCTAGAGCAGTAACTATTCCTTTAACATTTATCACAAGCACTGTCAGGGGTTCAGGGTTCATGTACCTTCAGTTGACTTTCATCTCCACAAAACTTTGTAGCGAGTTATGTTTCCGCTGAATGGTTAAGGTCTTACATCATCGCAAGAGCAAAACTAGTTCGCCATGAGTTTGTATGATATGGAAATCATTGCTGTAATTAGTACATATGGATTTCGTGTTTCTGGCTTGAGTCTGACTATGATATCTTATTTCGTTCTTATAGGAGCTGTATTCTATTCAGAACATTAACTTCTAGAGAATGTTCACTCCACTTTTAGTTAGTTTGGTTAGTCATGCAATTTTTCTTCGTACACCAGGAATCATAGGCGTTTTGTCCGTGTAACTCATAGACGTGCATACACATATAAACACATCTATACACGCCAAATATACATGCGTATCCGTGCACACGTGCACACCAGATGTGTACATACATCATCACACCCCCTACTCTGTGCTCTCCGACGAGACTACGCGATGTTGGTGGTCGGTTGAGTTGACCGGCTATCAGCTGCTCCTCGATATCAACAATTTTATGTGCGCTCTTATTTCTGCATTTCATTCAGCCATTGCGTCGGTTCACATCACTGATCTCTCGTTCTAGATTTATATATTCTCTCTAAAGTTCGTATTTGATTCTACTTAATGCAACGTTAAACGCTCAGAGAAACTATGGAAGCAAAAACTCACCACAATGGTGATCTAGACCCATTGCAAAAGTGACTCAATTAACTATAGCGGAGGCCACGCCCATCATCATACCCGTTTCCTGTTTAGACAGTCATTGCGCTCGGTCCAAGCCTTCATTTGCTTGTGAACACGATTCTTGATTCTTACTTGACGATTTTTATCTCTAGAATACACATAATGCTAGATTTTCGTCTAACTTTGAAGCTTTAACGTTCAGCTTAAGCATGACTGTTCTTGTCAAGTAGCTATGGCTTAATAAAGTAGCCCTTACTAAATACGAGAATGGAAAACATTGCAGTTTTTCCTTTGGAACTCACATATATTTGACATTAAATCTTTCTAGTTCAAGCGACCACTAATACTAGCGACTGCTTTTTTTTAATTCGAAACACTAATATCTCACACCTATTTCTTCGTTCGAATTCTTACCACTTGTTTGTTTTAAACCCTTACTGACCACACTATTTACGTTTTTCTTTCTTCGGTTACATATCGTTGTACTTTCCAGTTATACTAGAATTATCGAAATTAGTTGTACTTCAGAAGGATGGGTGACATTTCGTTAAACACGCGCTACCTTAGCACCAATCGTGGTATCATCAAAATTCTGCAAATCGTCTGTGGCTTCGTCATCTGCTCGTTGCTCTGCGCTCAGTGGTAGGTTCAAAATGAATCGATCTCGTTTAATTAAAAAAATTGACAGTGTATCGGCGGTAATGGACCATTTTCATCCTAATCATTATCATAATCATCTTCATCTTTGAGCACACTCTGACATAATTTCAAAGCATACTTATTCTCGTTTCTTTTTGAGGCCTAAACAACGTTTTCTTGTGATACGTCTCTTTACTATTTTCGCGTCGCTTCTTACACTTCGATCTCGTTCTCACCACTGTAAACAACTCAATTCGCTTCCACCCTCTCCCTCCGTCATTCAATGTCGCACTGCACGTCCTCGACGCTCTAAAGTCAATTGCGAAAGAAAGAGAGATGGGAAGCAGAGAAGAAATGAAGTAATGGAGGAAAAAAAGGAAGAAGCAAACATCACTATAATCACCACTAAACCGTGATGATATTTTAGACAGTTGAACATATGAACATATGAGAGACGTCGAAGCAGAGAAAGGTAGGTGTATGCTGTAATTGTGCGTTATCCACAGCTGTTAGATGGTTAATGTGAAGTGTTGGTTTACACTGAAACACTAGCACGAAGGTTTAAATTTGTCGATCAGTGGTATTTTCTACGTTTGTAGTCCGTATTCATGAATTTAAAACATTTTGAAGAGAAATCGAGCTCTTGCAATGACTCGTATGTGCTGAGATTTAAACGTACTATTGTTGTGCTGATTGGAAGCTGCATATAATAGACTACATAGATTCATAGTCAGTCGTTAAGGAAAATTTTGAAAGGATAGTATAAGCACAATCAATAGAACTGTAATGGAAATTAGAAGAGGTGCCCTAGCAGTGAAATTATCGACAATAACAAAGAAATTGAAAAGGATGTTGGGTATAGATGACCATTTGAGACGAAACGGTTCAGATTAGACCTAAATAACTTAAAAGCAATTTCTACCACCAACATATTCTACTATGTATTAGATCTAATGCTTGTACATTTGAACGACCCGTCCTCACTGGTTGTCCGGGTCCCAGGATAATAACCAGTTATCGGAGATTTGCTGGTTAAGCCATTGTGGTTCCCTGGAATCCCGGGGTCAGCCTGGCCATTGTCTGCCCCAGGTCTTCACCACCACGGACAGTCGCAGCCCTTGTGGATCAGAGGGAGATTTGCCACCATGCAACTTTGATACTAGGACGATAGCGGATCCTAGTATGGGTTTACTCTTAGCTAAGCTTCCTGATGGAAACGCCGGACTCCTTCTCAGCCTGAGAGACCCTGCCGGGGGGACGAGTCCTCCCGCTGTACACCCGACACCCACGAGCACCTGTCAGCCACGATGAGGCGGTAGGCCGTTGGAAGTATAGATCTAATAAGGTTTTATAAAATTTTTATTTGAATTGACTGATTTTCCTCTCATAGGGTTCCCTTTCCCGTGGAAGCGAACGTGTAGGTGAAGATATGTAAATTGTTTAGACATTTTCAAGCCTACCAGAGTTTTTTCTGCACAGGTACGGCGGTAGATCGTGTTTTGGTGAAGGTCGACTTGGGTTCTGCTCGGCTCTGAACTTCATATGCGTCGTCATCAACATTGTTCTGCTCGTGCTCAACTTCCTAAATATTGGAGCATGGGGACTTGTAAGTAATCAACATTTCTCGCTGTGAATTTATTGAATAGAAATCGACGCTTCCATAGCAAGTTATTGAGTAGTTCATACGATAGGTGGTCAATCCTCTTGTCTTTCAGGAGAGGATCTACTCAGTGATTTGCACTGTTCTCTTTCTAATCGCCTCGGCGCTGGTCATATGGTTCATAATCGAGTACAACACATCTCGTTCGACTCTTATTGCTACTGCAGTAGGTGTTATAGATACTTAATTTAGATTGAAATAAACGGATAGAATTGCAATGCTAGGGGTGAACGTAAAGTCACATAAGGTTTGTAATGCTCCCAGTGAAAAATGTTGTTTCTTAATGCACGTGGCTTCAGTTGTCTCTAACTAGTAGATCCATATTTATTCTAATTTCTTGCATATACATAGTACATAGTGCTCACAAGATCTCTGAAATTCTGTTTCTGTTGCAGTTTTCATAGTAGTTCAATCATCTTCGTTTTCTTTTTTTTCTAGGCGCTGATGGTTTGCCAATTTTTCCTCTTCCTCTGGGATGTGAAGATTCTTCAGGGTGAAGCATCGAACTGAACTGCATGCGTATTCATCAGTTTTGAACGATTAACGTTTTGCATAGTGTGCGTTTTCTTGCTTTTGTTACCATTTAACCTAATTCATTCTACATTTGTGGCGCTTCTTCTTTTACGAGACTGCATTTTTCTTGTGTATAGTATCAATGTAATAAAGTGTCCACTCAGTTGTTGTCGACGATTTTCCATTAGTTCGTAGAGAACTCGCTACTGTTTTGTTTTTAAATGTGAAATGCAGAACTGGTTCTTGTATTTTTTCTGATGGTTTTATTCCGTTTACCGTTATGAGTCACCAAAGTTCAAAAACTTAAAAAAAAAGCTCTACTGTATACGTCATAAAAGAGTCTTAAAGATCAGAGTGATAAAGTTGTAGATGGCATCGACTGCTCCATCCTGAAATAGTATTTTGTAACGTTTCGAAACTTTGAGGCCATTTTTTTAAGATTAAGTGAGAACTTCTACATCATTTCGTACACTAACCAACACTCAGAGATAAAACATGTCTCATGCTTCGCCTTCTCTCCACCATATCAAGGATTTCAGAACTTTAGAATTTTTTTACCTTTGAGAATAATTTTCTTCGAGGGTTTGCTACCACAGAATGGCAATCTATAGCATTGCGTGGCGAGTGGCGGTGCCTTGTTTTGACTTGCGACCGACTGACTCATTTTGAGTAGGTGTAAGGAAGTCGAGTGGGAGGAAATGGAGTAGAAGGAATAATAAAATAGAAACTTGGAGTTGTTTTGAGAATTTAGTGATTCACTTTCACATTTTATGTATAGTTTGAGTACACCTTCAATTGTTTGTTCTCTTCTATGATTGTTATCTATGAATACGGTCAGATAAATAAACTACACACACAGGAATTGAACCAGGAAGAAATTGACAGCCGTCGACAAGGTGATCGCATCCTGTCACTGAAGGAGTCATCACAACATGTAAGATCGTTCTCGTAAAATTCTCTGTTTTCGGCTTACTATCTGTTTAAAGGATCTATTAGGGGCACATATTTTTCTCTTCTTCAGATCATAGAGGGCAGTTCGCTTTTTTCGGCAATGCTTCGCTTCGCTTAGACATTTTATTGATCTTAGAGTTACAACATTGTTCAAAGCTTCCTCAGACGAGCTCCAAGTTGACTTTCAATATGTCGAGTTACTCGCCGAGGTCTCTCTTCTTTAAAACACGAATGGAATCCATATCTTTGGACATGGGGTTCGTATCGCCGTACGTTTCACCAACTGCCAGTTCACCAACCAACTGCAGCTACTTTCAAAAAACTGAAGATGACTTGCAACACTTTTTGTTTTGTGCATAGTCTCTTCGTTACTCTCCAGCTTTTCTCAAAGAACCCAACGTAACCTACGATTCTATTGACTTGTTTCCTCGCTCACTAACCGTTCTCACTGCTTGAGTCAGCAAACCATTGCTTTTCGTGACTACCATATGTGTTGGCGGATTCCGATTTGATAATGATGTATTCAGCTCTTGATTCGGCTTCACTGGTGCTTTTCCTCTATAATTAAAGTATCGTTGCTGTGGGAATAATGGCAATTGTTCATAAATGTATGTCCTTGAATGGAAGCGACTATATATAATTCTTTATAGAGCAGTCATAAACAGCCCGAATGGGTAATGTTGATTGTGGGAATTGCCTACTGATTGTGGGAGTCCGTTGGCCGACCTATGTCAACATAGTAGAACAAATTCTCCAGTAGCCTAATACTCTTTTATTACAAGTGTGCACACCTTAACTTAGATGTCTTTTCACGATCGGCTTCGTCTTTATAATGAAAGCTGTTGGCGTTGATTAATCCCTGAGGGATGCACCATAATTTCGACTCCATTAAGCATCGTTTGGAAGTGATTGAATGCATATCTGGCTTTTACAATAACTCGCGGTGGCCTACCGTTATATCGAGCCAGTGCTGCTATCCTTCCAGACAAGTCTGGTACCAATTTGCCGACCCCGGAGGGATGCAAGGCTTGGTGGGCCATGGGCGCGGAGATCGATTTCACGTGTGTGTTGCAGGGCGCCTCCAACCATTGCGCCACACGAGCCGTTTTTCTCTCTGTCTCCATGATATCATACCATTTTTTATGGATGGCACCGATCGAAATGAAAGTCAAGCCAAATCCCCAGTTAATTGTGTGTGTTACGCTAGTCTTTGTTTACTTCAAGCTTCTGTTCAACACTTTCGCGAGCACAAACGTTGTTTTTAAGATATAGAATGGAGACTGTGCATGTTCACTGACCGGTAATTTCATCGATAATTGACTGTTATTTCATTTATAATCACTATAATGAATCGTATTTATCGCATGGAGTGTACAGATATAAAAATGCCGAAGCAGACTCAACAGAGTTCCAAAATTTTCGAAATGCTGTCACCTATCTGTTTATATGATATAGTGATAAGTGGTGGGCTCATGAGGCGCAGTGGTTCGAGGTGACCTGCAATACACACGTGGAACCGATCTCCGCGTTTATGGGCCAGTAAGCCTTCCATCCCTCCGGGGTCGGCAAATTGTTACCAGACTTGTCTGGGAGGATAGTAGCACTGGCTCGATACATCGGTAGGCCACCGCGAGTAGTTATGCATTCAGTCACCTCCAACGATACATAATGAAGTCGAATGCATGGCGCAACCCTCAGGGATTAATTAACGCCGACAGTTTTCTCCTTTATCCTTTAGTAATATGTGGTAAGTAGTAGCGTACATGTCATCCTTCTCCAAAATCAATAGGGCACAGTCTGTTTTAAAACACTGCCATGTTCTTAGTGCTTCAATTTTTCCAGTTATCGAAAAACCAGCATGTCCGTCACAGCAGAAAATTCGATGTGGTCAGGTACGCCGACCACACAAGATCAGGCGTTGTCGCGAAAGTGTTCAGAATAAACCTTTCGGCTTTCATTTATCCCTTCATGAACATGCCATGCATTCGATTACATTCGTAATGTCGTAGAGGGGATTGAATGCATGTTTAACCTGTATAGTGAGTTGCAGTGGCTTGCAGGCGTACCAAGTCAGTGTTACCAACGATCACATACGCGTTGCCTGCACCACTAAGCATTTCCCTACATGCCTCCTATTTAAGAACGAAGAAAAGGATAAAGGGCAAGGCTCTCGGCGTTGATCTATTTCTTAGGGATGCATCGTGAATTCGACTTCATTAAGCATCATTTGGAGGTGACTGAATGAATATCTGGGTTTTACAATGAATCGAGGTCGCCTGCCGATATATGATAACAGTACTGCTATTCCTCCGGACAAGTCTGGTACCAATTTGCCGACCCCCAATGGTTGGAGGGCTTGGTGGGTCAGGGGCACGAGAATCAGTCCCATGTTCATTGCAGGGCGCCTACGACCAATGCGCTATGCGCGTTCCATAATAAGGAATATTTTGTAGAATCCAGCTTATCCATTAGTTAAGTTTCACTAGACGTACTTTTTGTTTTTGTATCACCTTGGATAACAGTTGCTAAAGTATCGACTAGATTTGACGATGTTTTCGTTTGCTCTTTGTGTTGTACTTCGTGCACTTGCAAGATATACAGAGTTGCTCTAGGACCACTTGTGCTATAATGATTGCTCCGTATACACTGTCTATATTTTGTAAAAAAGGATAGAGCTCTCAATGTTGATCTTGCTCTGAGGGATGCGCTGTGCATTCGCCTTCATTAATCATCGTTGGAGGTGATTGAATGCATATCAGTCACTGTGACCTGGCGTTGTATCGAACCGTTGCTGCTATTTTCCCAGACAAGTCTGGTGCCAATTTGCCAAACGGGGAGGGTTGGAAGGCTTGGTAGGCCATGGGCGCGGGGATCGGTCACATGTGTGTGTAATAGGGTGCATCCGACCACTGGGCCACACTAGTCCCAATGCAAAAAACTGACTAATATATCGTGTGATTCTTGGAGTACAATAATCGTAGAAGAATATGCGAAGATTCCTAGATAGCAGCGTTCAGATCAGTCCAAATTGTTTCAACTACAGTACGACAGTTGTGATCAGAGAAAGACTTCATCGAATATTTCGACATCATAGATCGAAATGTGTGCTAAGAAGAGTAGCCCTCATAATATAGTAGTTAACCGAAAACAGAATTCTATTTTCAGATTTATCTCTCGTAACCATTTCATTGTTTTGTGTTTGTTGTCGGAAGTATCATTATAACCTATCGTTTCAGTTTATGAGCAAATGTAGACGCTAGGTCCATGTGAAGTGGGCGGAACGAATTCGATGCGAAAGCAACGGTTTCAACTTTTCAATTTTAAATCAACATATCTCATCTCGCCTTGAAATTTGTTAATCAAAATAGAAACGACTGAAACCCACAAGATTTTTTCCTATGAGGGACAAGTTATGTTATCTTGAAAATGCAAACTTGTGATGTTCTGGAGCCTACAAAGCGTTTTTTCACTTTTCTTTTGCAAAGCTTGTAGATCAGCAATCAAAGCAAAAAAAAATCAGCGAATTCTAAACACTATGGTTAATTGTAAGATGTTGTCGTGTAGTGTACAGTATTCACCATCTTATTATTGACATCATTGAAACTCATAAATATTAGCTTTTTAATTAGCAAGGGTTAATTATTAACACTAATGCAGTTAATGTTTTTCTTTTACAGAAACTACTATTTTTGTCTTCAACGTTGCTTTTCTTGGATAAACGCAAAGCTTTTCTGCATCTGTTGGCAATGAGTACTAAATAAACCATTATGAAATTAATAACACAGCCCCAGAAAATGTATTCCGTATCAGGTAATCGGAAAACACGTTGCCTTTTTAGTTGACATATAGCTTTTGATAAACGCTAGAAAAGATGAAGGATACAGCCCTTCGCTGTTTATCAAGCCTTTGCGGGTGGATCGCGCATTTTACGCCATTCATAGAGATGAATAAATGCACTAAATACTCTATACAGGGAACATCAGAGATCTACCGATGTATTAATTCAGTGTTCTCGTCCTTCTGAACAAGTTAAATGCTAATTTTAACCCATTATCTGCTGCCTACTCTTTTTAGTGGCAGGATGTATTGCGTAATATAACTTCAATGATGCTGAGATATTTGCAAAACCCTAGGCTCTCCGGAAAGGACAATAGCGCGTTTGTTCCCCACCACAGACACCTGCTGTCCGGAGTTTTGCAAACATCTCAGCATCATTGAAATTAAATGCTAATTTGCAGATTTCGAAGGAGTACTGGGCTCGGTTTGAATGTGGCAGAGAGATTAACCAAAGCCCATGTGTGTTGCAGGACGTCCACGACCATTACTCCATGGGCGTCCATAACGCTTCTGATAAACTTCAACAGTGTGGTGGAAATTTGGTCTTCCCTACTTGTCAGGCTAATTACAGTCTTAACATTTTTTCTAATTTTCACAGGACCCGCCTTCCACATATACTCAGTAAATCCCAGCACTTCTCACATTCGTTTCGTTTCCTCGCATCCGTGGTTCACTAAGGACTTACAACTTTTTATATGTAGCCTCGGCTGCTGCTTGAGGACTTTCTTCTCATCTTGAGTGCTGTAGAATGATGGCTGAGTCGATTTTCCCTGGAGTACCAAGATAGCCATGCTAGAGCGTTCCCACTTGAATTGCAGAGCGGTTTTTTTTGGACAAATCCAGCACCGATTTCCCGACCAACGAGAAATGAGAGGCTTAGTGAGCCCTAACGAGATCGAACCTGCGTAGTACTCGTGACTATGGGCATTACTACTACTGTGCAATTTTCCTTCTACAGCCTTAATATTAAAATTGTTAACAGTTCGATGTTCTCATGTTGATTTAAGTCAGAAAAAACAGTGGTATTATCAGTGGTAGTAATAGTGGTAGTGAATTAGGCTCCATAATGCCTTCGAGATGCTACTCATAATTTTATGGTATTTTTTGTTTGCCATGCTATTTGAAGCCACAGAATTACCGTAAAGGATTCTCTTTGTTGTAATTCGAGCGACAATTTTGATTATAAAAATCTTTACCAACATAAGAAGTACTTTAGCAGCGTTCGTAACGTGATTATTGATTGAACTATTATAAATTCCTCATTACAGCACACATAAAATTCATTTATTTCAGTTACGAACTTATAGGAAGCGTAATATCATGCTTGCAGATGATTCAAAGTGTCCAAATCGAAAGGCAGCGGAATAAAGTGCATGAGCGATTTCTCATCTTTGCATCTAAATCCATACAATGATACAAGGTGTGGCGTATTGGTTAAATGTTGAAAGTCTCGAAGTAAAAAGTGTTTATACCAGATAAGAACTCTTTAGAGGGGAAGTTTCTAGCAACAATATAGTATATGGATGTGATAGGAGGCGAATGTCGAGTGGTTAAATTGGAATGCATCAATTCTCAAATGCTATTTGAAACAGAGGAGAGATACGTTTCTCCGAACCTTTGAAGCAAATATCTTGACAATTTTGCTCGTATTGTATTGGTTGCTCATCCATTTCTTCAATACTGGAGCACCTTGGATAATAATAAGGTAAGCAGGTTTCCGCTGCGCGCTAAAATTCATGATATACTGTAGAGCAACAAGTCAATAAGATAAGACTAATCCATCTTTTCCATCGATGTTAATCCATCTTTCGAGGATACATTATGCATTCGATTTCACTCGTAGCATCGTATAAATGATTCATATGAAGTCTATACGATGGCTTATGGGAACCTTCTAATGTAAAAAGGTTTGTTTTTATAGTTAATCGGATCAACGACCACATGGGTAGTGCAAGATGCTCTATAACCTCTGCCTCACAAGCGCTCTAATTTAAGATAGTATTATAGGTTTCTTATATTTCAATGAAATTCAATGGATACGAACGTCGTTCTTATTTACTAGCATAGAAACCAGCTAAAATAAATTTTCTTCCTCCCGTCAGTGAAGAAATCTTTAACGTTAAACCTTAGGTTTTCAATAGATTAAAGAATATACTCTGTTCTTATCAGTGCCTAGAAACCGATTGAGACCTTTCTTACGTAAGCCGGAAACGATCCGATGTTGGCGCCTTGTCGTGGTGAATGTAATACTATTATGTGTCAATACTGGACCATATAAAATCGGCGTGAAATTAAAAAGGAAAGGAAGCAAAAGTTAGTAAGAGTTGCTGGTGAATGGTTGGATAATTTTTGGAAACGGTAGTAGCATCAAGAGTTGGGATGGTCATGAAACTATTATGAAGGAAGGAATTGAATCTATGCTGAGTGCAATTTTTTGTAAAGGAAACTGTGAACAGTCTGGATTAACGCAAATTCATATCCTTGCTTTTATAAAACTAATAAATAATTTCCATGCTTAAAGATGTCGTTAACCTTTCTCAACTTACAGGTCTGTAGTAACGCTTCACATATTTTGGTGTCGTACCATCGGAACACTGTGTTCGCGTTATTTTACAACATCGTCGACTTTCCAAGCCTGAAAAGTTAGGGAGGCATATATCCACAACTATTATAAAGTCTCTATACAAAACGTTCGAAATAAACGTTTCGATTTCGAGAAGTGCACATGGAAATTGCCTGGCCACAACCTTGGTAATTCGATGAGCCACGTTAAGATCGATTTTGTCATTTTATTCTGCTTAAATCCCTCTGAATCACCATTAAATCGCCAGAATTCACAGTTGACATGACTGTCACCTTGTCACCTTTCACGATTCTACACGGATCTCATTTGATCTCGAAAAAGTACAGCAATTTACCGGCTACCATTAAGAGTCTCAAGTGTTCCTCATTTCGCCTTGTCTAAATAGGATCTACAGAATGAGTTCGGGTCAGATTTAAAGATTTTGAATCAGGTTTTTAGAAGTGGAAAGACGAAAAAAAGAGTTCTCGTTGTGGGTACTACACAAAGAAACTGTTACAGTTAAAAATATTAATTAAAAAAGAATATTATCGGCAGCCCTAGTGCTGAGATTTCTCAATGGATTTCAGTGAAATCACGTTTGTAACGATTTTTTATTTCTTCATTCACACGCACTATCATGAGAACGTCAGTTCACAACGTCCGCTATCAGATGATTCGCGTTCGTACTTCACATTTCATTCCAGGTCTAGTAAACACTTTTTTTAATTGAGATTGGAATGGGTCGCTTTAAATTCTAGTGATTCTAGAAGCTTTTGAACTATCATTCCATATGAAAGTGCAGCAGCAGTAACAATTTGCACATTTTGCAGGGTGTATTTTATTACAGCATAGCATCCACCCACAGGTAGCTCTAGGATGTTTGCAGTTGGGCGAAGCCTGCTCATGTATAGCTTGTCGGGCTCTATCAGGCTAAACTTCGTACTTTTTCATTCTAAGTAACTAATTATAGGAGTCGGTGTAGGGCCGCAGCCTCAGCGTGGCAAAACTTCTTCCATTCACAGCGGTTGGCTAGTTAGTTTTGAGCTTGGGAACTCAAATGCTCGACTACCTTTGGTTTCCGTAGAAAAACGTGTGACTGCACTAAAGATCAATAACTAGAAAAGGATGAAGTCCACAGATACTCAAACCGGAACTCAGCCGTGCTCAATTACATCATCTGTGTGGGCGATGGCTACCAGGAAATGTTATGGCCAGAACTACATGTATAAGTGGGCCATCTAAATAACGTAATGTCTGAGAGAGTAATGTTTTCTCAGAAGTTAGCAGTGTTTTTCCAAGTTGAGCCTGATTTGGGCAATTTCTGCAGAACAACTTATTTTTTGGATGGATGATTTTCTTATGAGAACGGGCTAATTTGAACTTTGGTCAAGCTAATCACATTCGACTTCCATATAATTTTTCCTATAAGGGAATTCAACTAGGTAATGCTCCAATTTCATCTTATACCAACCTATTTAACCAATATAATCCCATTATGATTCGCTTCTGATGGGATACTTGCTACACAGCATTTATTAAGAAAGTCCATAAGGCACCAGAGTTGTATTTTGCATCAACGATAACATTCGTAAGGGGAGGATGAACTAGATAGTGATTTATCTTAGCAGACGAGTTGGCCAACATTCCACATGACGCAAGAGGGGTACAGGTTTTGGTTTATCCTAATTCATGGGTTGATGTGAGGGTTTTCTACGTATGAGTGGTACCATTTCTCATTGCACTTTACATACAATTTCAAAGGACATTAGAAACCGGTCCGTGAGGAAATCAATGCGGTCCGAGACGAAACATGTCAGTTCCGATTTGTGAACTTGCAAAGCCGTGTCATAGGCAAAATCTTTGTTAATTAAACAAATTTCATATATAACGACTAGAGAAGTGTGATAAACCGAGAATGGGTATCTGATCGCTCTGCACAGATGCTGTGCATTAAATTTGAAATTAAATAACCGTTTGATTAAATAGGAATAGGAATGATCTTACATCCATGCTGAACTGGTTAATAGAAGATCACATTTACGAAAATGTACACTATTTAGCTTATTTTGTATAGGTAGATTGCTTAACCTAGTTTGATTTCTATATAAGGCAAGCACTTTCTTTGTTGACTGGTTCAGCTGTACTACGCTGACTACGCTAAACGTACAATTCTACGGAATACATTATGAGTGAAGTAATTTAGTGGTAGGCGTCGGGATTCGGACTGAGGAGTCAAGTATCTCTCTGGCATACATGGCTGATGTGAGTCAAGCATCTCGCGGGAGTAATGATACCCATTATGAATCGCCACAACAGTTACTCACAGAGCTAATTTGCTGCTTCGCAATTCAATTATAGTGCTTTTTATCCGTGAAATCACGAGTTTTTTCTCGTTTTGGTCTTTTCACAAGAAAGTTGAAATTCGAACTCACAGTCTAGTCTAAGAATTGACGAACGACGAATTGGTCCATCGGAAAGTGCCTTAAAATGAGAGGATTTTCGCCAGCGGTCACAGGAATGCCTCAGTGATTGTCATTAAAAGATTTCAATCACCTGTATTATTTCTTGGGTCATGTAGAGTTTTGACGTGATTTCAGATGCATGCTTTCTGGTATTTGGCACATAGCCCTGAAAAAGGAAGAAGCTACTTTTTTGGTAAAAATTATTCAGTATTGTTAGAATAATAACTTACTGTTAGTGAAAAATAAAAGCTCGAATCTTAACCCGATTAAAAAAGCATCGAGCTACCTAAATTTTCTGTCGATTCTGCGGTATAGAATTTGAATTTGTTTCATCATTACTGATTACTGTGCAACAAAATGGGAAAAAAATTTTCGAGTATTAGATTCAAGCACTCATCTTTTTCGGCCAGTACGGCAGTGGAGATGATGTTGGAGTCATTGCTGTCAACGCAGGAACTGTTGTCTCTTTCTTTGCTGCATCAGCGATTTTTCCAAGGTTAAATAATTTATCTAACGGTAACGTGTTGTCGTGCTCGCCGTTGTTGTCCAATATCGTGGCCGCTAACGCCTTGTTAATGATTGTTGTATTGAAGTTGGAGTTCTCATCCGAATCAAATGTGATTTCTATGGAATCAGGTAGATTCCTGGAAAATCCTACACTGTGCAAGTTACTTCTATTCGTGGAGTGATCATAGCTTGCAGTGTTCTTCCCATCAACGCCATCGCTTTGCGTTTTTGCAAACAATTCTGATCCTAGCGTAATTCTGCTATTCTGAGTGTTATTTGTACTAGACGCATTGGTGCTAGTGTCATTCAGGTCACTGGAAGGAAGTGATTCCGCTGTAAAATTAGAATAAGAAGTTAACGTTGATACTTCTTCTGATATAGAAGAATCCTTTTTGTTTACAGACATAGTAACAATCGGTTCTTCTTCAACCTTCGTTGTTGCTATCGCTGTTGCTTTCTTAACGAAGTATGGCGTCGTGGTTACAGTTCTTTTGCCTGGAGTAGTATGCAGTTGATGCGTTTCTATTAATGCCCTCATGAGTAGCCTACTTCGAAACAGTATCTTGCGTAAATTTTCGTCGCTAAGTGGAATATTATAACGAGAAAAAGACTCCAGATCACGGATAGCGTCATGAATGGCAGCTTCTGATGCTTCGAGTTCCCCAATATCTTCTGAAATTTTCCACTTTCCTTTTCCATCCATTGGTAGTCGTTCTTGAGCTGGTTTTAGACGCTTTGGCAAATCACTTGTCACGACGAAATCACGCGTCTTCGATTCATTGTTCATCATGTTGTATCTGGATAACAATATAGATTATCTCATGTGATGAGGAGTTGTATAATTCCTTTTACCTTAGTTGAGGTTCATCTTCAGCCATATTTTCTTCACTGAAAGCCTGCGAAATGCTTTCATTTAATTGGTTCTGATGAGCTTCCAGTGTTTGAATGTTGTTGCCATGAAGTTTTTTGCTCCTCCGAATGTCCTCGAGCTTCTTAACTGGTTTTTTATCTTTTTGTAATATTCCATCCATACCTTGTTCCTAAAAACATCGTTTTACACTTTATGTGGTCAGTTTTACAATTTTCGAGTATGACCGTTACTCCTTTCCAATACTTCTATTTGTATTCATAACCAGTTTCAAAGATCATAGTTTAATCATAGGAGCATAGGGCAGTGAAGAGATGAACTGAGCGCTAGGAAAAAGCAGGGGAAAACCTCAGAAAATTGGTACTTAGCTCATTTTCATCGCGATTCTTTACAGATAGCATTTTAAGAGCTATTTTAAGATCGTGTTTCATTGTATTACAGAGCATAATGATGCATAATGAAATTTATCCCCGTTGATGTCATCTGCAATGCTCTATTCTGCAAACGATCTTCACTTAGCGGATTTTTCTTGTGAATCATCTTCGACGGTGGCCGATGACGTCCGGATCGGCTTGGTAAATCAGCGCTAGCAACGGGAGAATCCTGTTAAAATTGATGCGAAACGCGATCCAATTACCATTGCTATACTCGTTGAGTGTCTTTTTTCATAGAGGAAAGTGAAAATGACACCTCTTAATGATGAATAGTGCTTACTTTATCGCTAAGGTTACTGTTCTTTTTTACAAAAAAGAAATTGTGTGACAAATTAAATTTCTGACATGGCCTACACTTAATTATAAGCGACGGCCGGCGTTTAATTATTAATTATTAATTATAAGCGTTTAATAATTGTGAAGCATTGTTCCCTACTGTGAACACCTTAAATATACTCGACTCTGAGCATTTCCTTTGATGTAATGGGAAATCAGAGATGCTATTAATTCCGTATCTTTCCTTCGGATTTTATTTATCTATGTGCCTTTTTGTATTTAGATCATCATGTCCAAAGCTCTTCGTGTCCCATTTTCACATATGCTTTTTAAGACGAAGCAAATCACTAAACGAGATCTCTTACCACTTCCTACTGTAATATTTTCCTATTTCAGTGAATGCCAAAGATTCTTCATTATTTTTATGAGTTTATCTGAGAATGATTTATTCACATTAAAATGCAATAAAATGTTTTAGCTAAGTACCTTCAAGGAATATATAATTGATCGAGAGCGGATCCAAATACTAACACATTTACGAACGGAACAAGCTTTTAGTTTTCTGAGTTAACTAAACTCCGCATGGTTTTGCGCATTTAGAGGCAAAAAAGAGGGCTATATTCTGGCTAGGGATATTCAGCTGGATCTCTTAAGTGTTTTGTTGTTAATTAGTTCACATCGGTTAGTCGTCAAACTTTTGTATGACCCAATCTGGTTTTAAACCGTTGTGGTAACAAATTTTCGGTTCTTCGTCAATTGATTTGCATTCATGAGATTTTCAACAACGACTACCAACCAGAAGAAACATGTCTTACCGATACTGCGTGTGTGTATCTGTATATGTATGCGTGTATGTATGTACGTACGTATGTATGTATGCATGTATGCATGTATGAATGTCTGTATGCGTGTGTGTGTATGTGTTTTAAAGTGTGACAAGTATTCAACCAGCGAAAACATCATTTCACGATTTCATGAAATTGGCGATCCGTTCGCCAGATTAGCTGTAGCGATTGACAGTGATGATATATTTTGTATACTGTAAACGAATTGTCACCTTTTAAATAACACAGTAAAATAAGTGATTTGTTATTAAACAATGCTCATAGTAGGAATCGAATAAAAGTCGGTTTAGAAATTAAATAAAAGCTGTTACCTCACATGTTCGAAGAGAACAGAATCTAGTTTCGTACAGTTTCGTACAACGTTTTACACGATCCAGTGAATTCTCAGGAATTGATGGACGTATAACGTCACGATTTCGTACAGACAATGCATAATAGCATGTGCCATAGCATCGGCTCCAACCTGACCATTCGGACAGTTCACATTCTGGAAAAAAAAGCGGATAACTGGGTCGTTGTTGAAAAACAGAAAGCGTAAGGAAGTAAAGAAGTTAATGAGTAATGCGTTAATGAGGTTTTAAGTTCTAGTATTTCTTTCTAGTGAAGATAAGCAAGTAGAATGACGTCCAAGCAAGAAATCTTCATTGTCAGAAAAAAATCACGCCGACTAATCGTCCATGTTTTTGGAAGGACAGATTATCTGTGAAATAAGTTGTACCGTGCATAAGAAGTCTCCAGAATGTTAATGTTCTCCATAGTATTTCGTGGGCTCAGCGTTAAACAACATAACTGCGGAAACTACTGCAAGCGATAAGAAAAAAAATACTAAAACACCATCCCCATTGAAATGGATGTGCTAAGTAGTAAAATATATCTAGCGTTCCATAAGTTGAAGAAAATTCAACCAAATCAAATAAAGTAGGTAATCAGTAATAAAGAAGTACCATTGCTGCAAAAACACTCACCTGACGATGATACTGACGTGGTCAAAATACAGAATAAAAAAATAACTGTGATCATGTTATAAGCGAAAGCTGTGTGAGAAAGTTTGTACTTCACTGAAAATCTTCAACGAATAAGCCCCACCCCTTTTCTCAACGCCACATGGAGTTTGCAAATTCCTGGCCGTTAGTGGATCAGCCGAACAGTGCCAATCATTTCTAGAGAAGATCCACGAGTTCAGTTTCACCCTTCAATCTTTATAAAAATTCACGTCGATCAACTCTTGTGTAAAAAAAAGTATTTTGAAGTTTTACGAAATATGTTGTGTATGTGTTTTTCAACAATGAGGTTCAACAACTTCTAATAAATCGGGATGTTGACAAAGTCAGAGCAGTATGCATCGATCCCAACAAATGTGTAGCAGGGAAGTGTCCAATTTTTCAGATTCGGAAAAGTACATCTCTGATTAAAATGTGCACTTCATTAGTAAAGTTTTTGAAGACTAACTTTACTAAATTAAATCAAAATAATCTCAAGGATGACTTCTATTTAACCCCAAGAATGGATGAACAATTCACTGTTTTTTCTTGATGAGCACCATCAGATTATTGTTACAACATTTATTAATAAACAACAGCTGAAGTTTCTATGGTTTACGCCTTCTTCAGAATTCAGGAAGGTTAAATTGACACGCAAACGCTTCAAGCAAGCACTTGCATAACTTCGGCAGACAGAATTCAATGAGTAAGTTTTTATTTGAAAAATCAAGTGCTTCTTTTAAGCAGTCATCGTTTCGTTCTCTATAAGACTTCCAGTTATTTGATGGGCGAGGAATGTCGCAGGGCAAAACTATCAGAATCTAGAGAGTTTTGCTAAGAGGTCAAAGCTTCGTATTTATGTCAGAACCAAATTGTGATAAGCCTAAGGCCACAAAAGTTTCTTCCATTTTAATTGCCAATAATGTTATTCAACTGAAGGAATTTCATCATACATATGAGGACAGTCTGTCGGTCTGCGCGGGATGTTGGGCTCGTGTTACGGGCTTCTGAATCCAGTCACATCATATCACTACTTTTACTACTCGATTTTTTCTAAAACATGAAACAGTGTGTTTAAAATTTGCAGAATGTTGTATGTGTTTACATTATTCTTAGGTAGTTGTCTGGAAATTAGAGACATTTGGCGAAGAAATAGCTGGTAAGCTGGAAATGGTAGGAAACCATGAAGTGTTGAAACACAACTGTTAAAAGTCTTCCATTTAACCGAATTTGTTACCTAAAATTTGAATAGCCCATTTTTACGAAGCACTGTGCTTTACCCAACATCATTTAAGTGATATTTCGTTAGTTGGTGAGGAACATTTTTTCCGGTGTTAGTTCTATTAGAATATTCCCATGTCGTCTTCATAAACATTAAGGTCTGAATCGAGGTGAGATTAACCACGAAGAGACTAGTTTGCCGCATGGTCTGCTGTCTTTCTGAGATTGGATTACAATTAACTAGACTTCCAGATAGGTGACGTACTGGATGATATTTTGCAAATATTCTGCTATGAAACGAAACCTTAAAATATGCCGTAGTCAATATCAGACAATGAAAAATTGGGACGTTTCTATCAACCTCTTTTCTGACGACCCTAAAAAGAGGTTGGGAAAAGCGATCATAAGAATAATATCCAATATTGTAAATGCATGCCCCTAAGGAACTTGCTAAGCTTTTTCCTCCAACTTGGCCTTTCATGTTATCTTCAAATTCTTTAGAATTACAAATAAAAATAGGTTTAGCACTAGTTTGAAATTTTGTAAGGTAATCTAATCCAGTGCGTTGATAATAAGAGTGGCTGGTCACCAAATGTGCAGTGCTAAGATAAACATCGCCTCAGAAACTTTCGAATGATCGAATTCGACGATAAAGAAAACTTGGAAAGTAAATTTGTTAACAATTCAAAGGATAAAGAAATTGTTCGAAGCACTGGTATTGATCTTGCCCTACTGAACATTAGATCACCACATTTTACGACCAAGAAGCACTCAGAATAGCAATAATGTGTACAACTTTCTCAACTGTGCTATGGTTTTTCAACGGTAAAAAACTGTCCTTTGTTTGATGACATAAAAATCAGATCCGAGCTCCAGAGACACTTACTGTTGCACACTTTTCGGAAGAGCTTTTCTACACTGCCTGTCGGAATGGAAGCCTAGGAATCGGTAGAAAATCAGCAGGACTTGTAGCCTATACGACGGCAACAACCATCGCCCAATCTGCTAGCTGTCTGCCCTCTGAAAGTCAATTCATCATCAATAGATGTGGAGCATTATTTACCGAAAGATTGCCATGAGATTAACAGGAGTTTTTGAAAAACTTTAACAGAACAGATAATATTCACGGCATAACGAAGCTCACTGAAATATCGCGAGAGTACATGGTACCACTTTGCCGAGTCAACTTCCACTGACTTGTAACGGCTTTAAAGTCAGTTAAAGCGGAAGTGGCTGTAAACAAGGATCCATCATGAACTACACCGCAACATCGAAACCTGAATTTCTTCATTCTACAACGATGTTATCATCAGCGCAAAGGGAGGTGTTCGATAGGGCGATACCATCTCGCCAAAACTATTTAGCGCCACTGTTTAGAACATCATGTAAAAGAAACTTGAATTGGACATGACAGGAGTGAAAGTTGGTGGTCAACAGCTAACACAATCTTTATTTTTATTTACGACATCGTCTTTATAAATAAACGCAAGCATTAGCCAAGTAATACACTAACCGAGTTTAAGTGGAAGTGTAGAAAAATTCGTCTTTGTTCGATGAATCTGAAGGAAGCGATATTCACGAGAGGTGCCTTTTTTTCTGAAACTCCATCAGCTCTTACTGATAGGAAAACTGCCGTTGTTTCACCCAAGCCAACATAATGAATGAGTATAGTTCGCAATTGATCAAGAAAAAAAAGCCACTTGAGAAGCTGACAATATGACTGGGAACGTAGTGAAAAATAAATATGGCATTCGTCTCTTTACCAACTTTTGACTCAACGATTCTTTCTGATCTATTGTACTCCCCAGACAACTGAGACGTCTGTGAGAACGATGAGAGTGAGGTCCTCATCTTCGAGAGTGTTATTGAAAAGTTAGTATTACGAATTTCTGATTTCAAGCGTATGACAAAAGGAATCCATAATAACGGACTACAATTTCAGTTTGAGAACGTGTTCTTCGTGATCCGTTTAAGCCTTGGTGTCAAAATGAGTCATACTTGACTGTCACACTTTTTATTTTATCGTTCCGGGATAGAATTTTTGAACACGTTTGATAGCTTATCAGACATAGATGTTACTCTTGCTATAATTCGAAAAAAAGGACGGGTTTGTTCGCTTGATTAAAGTCCCACGGCAGCAGATGTTCCTACTGTGGTGGTGGTGGTGTCTAACTGCACCTTTACAATGATGTTTGACACCTAGTTGCACCTTCTGTCCACAACACGATCGTAAACCATCGAGGAAGCTTCTACAGATGTAGTTGTGGTATTTAAAAGAACAATGCATGGAAAAGCTGCGCGTACGTCAGTGTGTACAGTGTATTCTTGAAAATATTACAAGTGAGCCATCCTATTTTCCTAACTTTTCATAAATTTTGTCAATATCTTACTCAGAAACGGTTGTCTTATAGTTCGTAATTCAATTCACTTTTGCAACCTACACTCTTTGCGGCATGTATTTTTTATAATAAACATCCTCTCCAATCTTCACAGTTTAGGTTTTCGACGTACCGCTTGAAAACACCGGAGCACATAACTTCAGTAATGCTCTTTTTCCGTAAAAATCACAGCTGCAACCGAAACAGGAATACTTCCCACATTTGCTGTACTTAGTTCTTACCTGCTTGGTCCGTTTGCCAGTAGATTTAAATTCGTGAAATTCTGCCGATTTTTTGCAATAACCAGTCATCATTTCTTTGACTGTCGACAAATAATTATATGAAGATGGCTTACTCACGCTATAGTAACCTACGTACTGAACCGCGAGCAGACAGAAGCCTTGATACTTATTTGAACTTGGACGGCCCGTTCACACTGGTTGTGAGGCCCGTGCACAATCACCATTTTTCGGTGATTTGCTGGTTAAGCCACTGTGGTTCCTTGGAATCCTGAGGTTGGCCTGGCCAAATTCTCTACAACGTTGCTACCACCACAGGCTGTGCTAGCCCTTGTGGATCAGAGAAAGGAAGATTTGCCACCATGCGACTATTTTGATACAAGGACAGTGGCGGATCCTGTATTGCTCTACTCTTAGCTAGTCTTCCTGATGGAAACGGTGGAGACCTTCCCATCTTGGGAGGGTCTGCCGCGAGACGAATTCTCCCGCTGTACATCACAGTCCGATACTCAAGAACACTTCCCAGCCAGGATGAGGAGCTAAACCGTTGGGAGGGACATAAACCTTAACTAATGTTTTGCACTTTATCAACACTCTTAGTACACCTTCTTCGATCATTGAGCACACATGAGGTTAATGAAAAGATTTATTCGGCCAACATTTTGACGTGTTTTCTTTTGTCATAGACGGAGTGTTCCGAGGCGATCGTCCACAGCTCGTTGGTCTAGATATGTGGCTGTTCGTTATCTCTCCAAATCGAGCCTTGTGGGGTAGAGTACCACTTAAATGAAGTGATCTCAGTCGGTGGTCCCTTCTATAGAGTACAGTTGTTTATTGACATCTCTGATGGTAAATTTTTGTTTGTAGTGTAATTATATTTTCGTGAGTGTACAACATTATGAGATTACTACAATGTGGTACTCTGCATTAGATCGCGGTTTCCATTTTCATTTTTGTGTCCAATCTTTGTCTATGTTCTGTGAAATAAGTATCGCCCAGTACTCTGGCTATGTTCATAAACTACTCATTTATTTTTTTG